CAGGGCTGGGCAGTACGCGCAGGCCCTCGGGCAGTTTGGGCAGGGAGGACAGCAGGTTTTGGGGAGCTTGGCGAGGTCTGGGCAGCATATTCCTATGCTGCCCACGCAAGCAAATCAGTTGACTAATATTCAGAATCAGTTGTTAGCACATCAGGTTAGTTACGATAGCCAATTCTACTGCGGTTCTCTAATTTATCTTTCTTGTCTTTCTTTTTATTATTAGCAACAGTTCAATTAATTTTTTTCCTTTCTTATTAGCAAGCAATTTTATGATGTCTGTTTTGTTGGGCCGAACAAATCTATGATGCTCTTCTTCCCTGTGATCTGCAATTTTTGGCTTTTTAATTTAGAATGTATAGTAGATTGATAGACTTGAAAGAATGCGAAGGGTGGTATAGCATGCTCATTTCGAATTCGGATGTTGAGTTCCTTGTTTCTTGCATTGAAAATCATCTGAGTTTAAAGTTTCCATTATGTTTCTCATACATAAATTTTATTCTGAACTTTATTTTGTATATGGATTGGTCTACTCTATCTATTGGACTGGCATTTGTTGAAGTTCTGATGGTATAAGTTGTAGTATGATATGAAGTAAAAGGAATATGTGATGCAGTGATAGTTGTTGGGTGTGTGTGGCCATTAAAGGCCTTATGAGTGCTTGTAATTGAACTTTTGATATAATAGAACATGAACTTAGTGGGAGTGTGGTCCTCCTGCACACGAGTCCTTCTTTCAATAGTGAGGGGTAGCATAAGGAATGTTCTAGTGTTGGAGAAAAAAAAAGACAAAACGTAAAAGTCCTCATTGTAAAAGATGTGGGCTACTTCATGTTTTTTTGTAATTGTTCTCTCCCTCTTTCTACCCTCTGTCTCTATTTTTTTTTGAAACTGGTTAAACTTTGTTGAATAAAAAATGAAAGATTACAAAAGTTTGAGGTGTGGTAAGAATGGCATCCCACAAAACGGGTGCTCAGATACAAGGGGGAGAAGAAGTATAGTAGACTAACTCTAAATGAAAAATAATAGAAAAATGAAAAAGCTACGGATAGGGAAAATGTCAAAAAAGAGGGGAAGGCTAATAGAAAAAGGGGTAAAGAGGATCCAGAGAAGAGTAAGAGCCCAGTAAAGTAAAAAGTGGACAGTATATTCTGTCGCTAGACTCCTAGAGATTGGAGATGCCCAGAAGCGAGGTGAGTATCTTTGAACTTTGATAAAGTTGAAGATGCTCAGTTGTGTGATCTATGGTAAAGCGAGCTCCCTTGGTCGTAAAGGGTGAGAATGTGCTGCTGAGAGTCTCTTTTGGCCTTTCCTTGCAAGAAGACGCCCATGGGCGGCACACTGCAGAAGGAAAAGAAAGGAGAGAGGAAAATAGGAGGGGGTGGGCTTGCAGGCAAATAGAAGAGTAGAAGAAAAAGGGGGGGGGGTGGGAACGAGCCCGAAGGAAGGGCTTTATCTAGGGAGGTAGGAAGGAGAGATACAACGGGTAAGGATAGAGGTTTAGAGAGTGTAGGAGGGGAGGAGGGGTAGCATGGAGAGGCTTGAGAGAATGAAGAAGAAGAGATGCAGAGGAGCAGAGAGGTGACAAATGATTAAAGGGGGAGAAGAGTGAATGGAGGGAGAGAGAGTAGAGAATTTAAAATGAAGGGAGAGAAACTCGGATAATGGAATTCGAAGAGTGGCTTCCCATGCGAACGTTAGTGTACATGCCATGGAATGGTCTCGTGTCAGGATACGGATTTATGTCCCATAAATCATGACCATCCTATACAGGGCCGTTACTCATGAAAATATTCGGGTTCTATGTACTCGATTGGATACTCCAAGCCCTGTCTAATCACAAGAATCATGAGCCTAATATAAACAAGATCCTGACTAGGAGGCCCTCACACCTCCTTGAGAAATTGCTTTCTTGAACGTAAAACTCTCATAACCTCAACTACTCAGGGTATAAGAATCTGGGCCCCCGTTTTGCAAAGCACCCATATTCTATCTCTCAATCACTTCTATTGAATGAGTGACTATTGCTATTCAGGCCTTGAAAGGCCATATACCCAACAATAAGAAGGGATAGATTATGTAGAGACCTATTATTTAGTAGCCAAATTCACATCCATTAGGATATTCTTAGCATTAGTTTCGTATCATGGTTTAGCATTATATCAAATGGGTGTCAAAATAGCATTTGTAAATGAAGAACTAAAGGAAAACATATATATGAAGGAATGTGAAGGATATGTGCTTAAAATGCTCAGAAGATATAATATACAAATTAAGTAAATCTTTGTATGGTCTAAAGCAGCCTTCTCGGCATCAGTAATTTACTTTTCACAATGTAATCACAAAAATTGGCTATGTAGCCAATATATTAGAGCATTGTGTGTATATTTGGAACAATGGGAGCAATTTTGTTATCTTATCTTTGTATGAGGTTGATATTTTGTTAGCTTAGTTTCAATTTTGAGATGAAGGATATGGGAGATGCTTCCTTTATCCCGGGTATTAAAATAACAAGAGATAGAAGTTGTGAACTTCTATATTTATGTGAAAAAAAGTATCTGGAGAGCATTTTAAGGAGATTTAAGATGGAAAATTGTAAGCCCATATATACATTTGTTTGTATAGCTTTTAAATTATCGAAGAAAATGAGCCCATCAAGTATAATGACAAAGTTGGGATAGAAATAATTCCATGTGCTCAAGCTGTAAGTTGTATAATGTATTATATGTTATGCACAAGAACTTGATTAGAGGCATGCAGTCGGTCTTGTATGGAGTCCAAAGTAACCTATGCTTGACTCATTGGCAAGCCGTAAAAAGAGTCTCATGTATTTTTAGAATACCAAAAAACTATAAATTATGCTTTCAAGTTGATAATTTAAAGACTAGAGGGTACTCTAATGCAGACTTCGTTGGAGACCTAGGTGATAGGAAATCAATATCTAAACATGTATTTCTCTTTAGAGGTGGATGTATTCTTAGTCAAGCAAGAAACATGGTTATGTTGCTTGAAATATTCTAGAAGCTAAGTATATTGCTTGTAGCATTGATATTTATGCCATATGGAGTAGATGCTTTATAAGTATTTGAAGTTTGATTTAGTCAATGGGCTAGTTCAATCTTTTGTCGTAATCAGGCTACTATGTCATTGATTGAAGATGGAGCATACATCTCCAAGAGCAAGCAGATTGAAATTGAATATCAATACATTAATTACATTATTGTAAAAAATGAAGTAATTGTAAAATTGATATCATTGCATATCCTTTGATGAAGGAATTAAGTGTTGAATTGTTTTCAAAGCATGTAAGTTTGTTGGGAGTTAGAAACATTTGAGGCATCAATTTCTTAAGACATTTTGAAAGTTTGGTCATGAGAGGTAAAATAGTGATAGTGTGAAAAATGCATTGACAACATTATGTATCAAAGTTTGGTCACTAGAAGGATGTTTCCTCATAATGCCCATGAAGGGTGAATCCACCAAGTGGCAAAATCCTTTGTGGCATATTAATGTATTCGACCCTTATGGACAAGTAGGATATGTTGGTACTTGTGTGAAAATGGGGTCTCACATGTGCAACATAATATTTGATTTATTTTGTTAAAGGTTTTCTAGCTTATAAACATATCTATGATTTATTTTGGCAAGGCTTTTTAGATAAATTTTTTTATGAATGGTTACTTTTACAGATTACTCCAAATTTCCGAGAATTTAAGGAGGGCCACATACTCCGAGATTTCAGGGACACCTGAATGTTGTAATAACTGACCCTTGGAGATGGTGGCCTTATTTTGTGGGATGGGCTTCCGTCCTCACTTCATTGAGCATATATCTATAATATTTCCTCTCATAAGGCATTTTATTTATTTATATCCTTGCCTATGTATGTACTGCCACTGCATAGAATAAAAATAAGAAGAAAATTTTGAAATTTAGCAGGAAATTAATGTGCCAAAATTCCGCCCTGAAATCTGGATTTTGAATTAAAATCAAGGTACTTGAATATTTTTCACAATCAATGGTATCTTGGTTTTGTGAAAATTCAGGCTAATATGAGTATTCCTATGAATTTTATGAGTCCTTCCCATTCAAAATTGATGACACTAACACATTCAAAACTGATGTAGCGAAGATGTTTCGAGAATCACGCCTGTTATTATGGTACAAAAGCCAATAGGTTTATTTGGGAATTTTTTTTTACCAGGTTATGATACTTCTATTTTAGTGGTGCAATGTGCTGTTTGTGATAGGTAAAATTGTTGAATTCTTTATTTACAAGAAGCTAAATTATTCACGAGGTCATTGGTCAAAAGAATATTTATGAGGTCGTAGCTCCAGTTATCTTGGCATATGCGTGTGTATGTTTCTTTAGATACACACACACGCACACACACACACACACAAAGGCCGGGAGTATGAGGCATTGTTTTAGGCTTTCAAGGCAAGGTGATATTGCCACCTCTCACCTATTATTAATGAATACACACTTTTTCCTTAAGCATCACACAATGGGCTCAACAAGCATTTTCTGGAAAATTATTGTCTATGATTGTAAATGAAATTTTGGCCTGATCTATACTTTAGATCTATGTTCCCTTTTATGTCATCTCGAAATGGCACGCTTGTTTGACTTGCTGACGGCTAGCATAATATTTCAGATATTGATTTACTCTTTGACTCCCTTTATGAATTATATGTATTTGTGGTTCAAAAAGCTGGGCAGCGCTTGGGCAGTTTGGGGGATCAAACCTGGGCGGACCGCCTAGGTTGAAGAAGAGGAGCAGGGGAATATGAGTATACGACATTACAAATTTATGACTATTAGACTAATACCATTTAACACAAATATGAGTATATTGTCATCATAAATTGACACATCATAAGATATTAAAAATCCTATAATTCAGAGTTCCAAACCATTGTAATAGACGACTAGCACAACAAAAAATAGGATATTATAGTAATACAAGCACAATCCATAATCCATACTCCATGGACCATACTCCATGCTCCATAGTCCATATCATTCCTAATCCATAGTTCCATACAATGATATGGGCATACACATAAGAGTAGAAAATAAGAACTAGAAAATATACACTTGAAGATAGAGTCAAAAGTCTTCATTCATCATAAAAAAAAGTGGGGTTGGCCTCATCATATGCATCGAAGTCGAGTCCATCATCATCAAAATCATCTCCCTCTTCAATATAACGTTTGTCCTCCTCCGTTTCTTCTGAATCTGCCACATCCTACTCTTATTCTTCCCTCCTCTTCCTCTGTGTAGATGACCTAGAGGTTGTAGGAGTGTTGGCTGCTAAGCCTGCTCTACCTGATGCCTCTTCACCCTTTTCTTGCTTTTTGTGTTTTACCAAACTCAAATATTGCTTAATTTCCTCCCTGATATCTTTAGGAACCTTCTTATAAGGGGCAACATCCCCCTTAATATCGGCAAGGTGTTTCTTGAACTAGTAATTGTAAATACTCCCATTATCCTTTCCACAATAATTATACCTTATACAATTTTTATCATTCAGATTTGAGTTATAACGATACTTTTAACCAGGATCACCACTTTTAGAAGAACCTGGAGAAAACATTTCCATGTAACAAGGCTCCTTTTCTTCTTTTTTTTGTTTTACCAAATTCAAATATTGTCTAATCTCATTCCTAATAAAGCTAATCTCATTCTTAATAGCTTTAAGAATCTTTTTACAAGAAGCAACATTCTCTTTAATACTGGCAAGGTATTTCTTGAACCGGTTTACACCCCCATTGGTATCTCTTTTATAAAATTATATATTATATAATTTTGTTCATTTGGATTCAGGTTATTACCATATTTCCAACCTGAATCACCACTTTAGAAGAACTAGAATAAGATTTATCCAAATGACAAGACTGACAAGGCTCCTTTTGTGTTTTACCAAACTCAAATATTGCTTAATCTCTTCCCTGATAGCTTCAGGAACTCTTTTTACAAGAGGCAACATCCCCCCTAATACTGCAAGGTGTTTTCTGAACCGGTTTATATCCTTATTAGTATCGTTTTTCTCAATAATTACATTTTATATAATTTTTGTTATCTGGATTTGGGTTAAAACCATACTACCAACCCGGATCACCACTTCTACAAGTACCTAAAGAAGACATTGAAATAACAAATAAAATATCATGTATGAAGATTCTTAACTAATATTTTTGCTTGATCTTCAATCAGCAATGTTTGAGATGTTTTGTTATCTCAAATGCTTCCTAAAAACCCTCTAATAAGCTTCAAAAATATACAAAATCAAATCTAAACCAAAAGTATGATGTTTGGATCAATTTTTCAAAATTTTGAAACGACCCAATCCATCTTACAGAAGTGTAAAAATGTGTTTTTTTTTTTATAGTTTTTTTCATTCCAAAAGATAATAAAAGGGGTTTAGGTCGCATTTGGGGGGGGGGAGAAATAATGCCCCTCCACGAGGGGCATTTTTGCCCCTGGGTTGGCGTGGTCCCTTGGCCCCTGCCTAGGCAGGTGCCCAGGGATCCAGTGCCTAAAAGGGCTGCTTGGGCCTAGGCAATGCTACCCTGGCTCGCCTGGGCCTGGGCGAAGCTGTCTTGGCCCCCCTGACCCACCTAAGCGGCCTGCTTTTTGAAACACTGATATGTATCAATTTATATATGTTGTTAATTGGATTATATGGAAGATGTTATTATAGAAGATGGGGTTGTTCCATGTTAAGCAAATTTGTCATGTCTGAAGCACAATTACATGTTGCTGTTGTCATAAAACATATTTGAAGCACCTACAAGGGGTGGATTTTATTGTTTTAAAGTGGCACTTGTTTGGCCTTGGTTTACCTTGAGCACCAGCTGAAATTTCAGGCCAAAATGAAGAAATTTTTCCTGACCCATTTTATTGTACCAACTAAAGAAATGAAACTTCTTTATACTAGCCCCAAGTAAGTGCTATTTTTCTGACAGAAACAACCAGATATCCATATTTTGCACATTTTGTTCTGTCTTGCATGCAATAGGCATTCTTTCCCCTTTTAGTTACTGCCACAATGTTTCCTATATGGGAAAGCAGATTTGTTAACTGACACTTCTTAGTCTAGGCAGATTACCATCAACGTTATATTAAGTGCTTTTGCATCTATAGTGTATAACTCGAAATGATAGCAAACTGAATATCAAGGGAGCTGGATGTTTTTTACTTGTTATTTATGTTTTATCTTTTGCAGCCAAGGCAGAAAACAGCTTTAGTCTCAGGTTCTCATTTTCTTCCAGCGAATTCTTCAGGGCAGCCAATGCCTGGGTTACAGAATATTGGCGTGATGGGTTCTCTTGGCTTAAATCCAAGAGCGAATGGGTCGCTATCATATAACCAGCAACGTGTAACTCATGCACAAATGAGACAGGCGCATTTGGCTCAACATCAACCGACCTCACTTACCTCTTCTCAGGTATGTATACCTAAATTCAAATACCTATAATGAAACTTGCTTTCTCTGCATGTTATACACTGAGGAATGCCCTTTTCCTATTGTTTTAAAGTAATCAGTAGGTCTAAAATGAGCTTATTATGCATTTGCTGTGTAGGTAATCCATCAAAATCATCACAAACACTTCATTCACAGCATTACTTTTGTGCTAATTAAATTTATCTTAGAAGTTAATCTGAGGTTCCTTATCAAAATTATGTATGACTGTTAACTGTTGTTATCAAAATTATGTATGGTATAACCATAAAAAAAATATGACTTTCTTTATCTCACCCCTGTTATCACAAATTGGAAATTTATGCACATGAATCGTGTTATGTGAGTCATCATGGGGCCTCTTTTTTAACTCTTTTCCTCAGGGTTCAAGGATTGTAGTTTTACTGTGTAGCTCTAGTATGCTTGTCTCTGACCTCTGAAACCATTCTATCAACATTTTTGAGACTCATATTGCTTATTGAACCCCATTGTTTTCTTGCTTTTCTTGTTCTTAATCCCTACCTGATTTTTATGAAAATGTATTGTGGGGTATGATGCTCACATTCTTGGTGAATTAATGGTGTATTAACTTCTTAGTGCAGGAAACCCAACAGTTGACCCCCTTCTTCTTTTATTCTTTCTAGTTTTGGGCATTCTTACCTTTTACAAACTTCATTACTCCAATAGACATGGCTAGCTTTCATGTTTCTGTTGAGTGTGAATCACATGATTTGACCAGAACAAGGATGTAAAAGAGGGGAAAATGATAAAGAGCCACCCTAACACCACTAAAGTTCTTCATGTCGTTAATTTCTAGCCTTAAATTGCACAAAATACCCAAATTGGGCTGTAAACCTGCATATTTCATGACTTCGTAACAGATATGCTACCATTACATTGATCCAAGGAAACTCAATTCCAAGTTACTTGCAGTAAAAATTCCTTTTGTTTTTGGGTAGTTACTTGCAATAAAAGTTCTTACACAATTAATTTCCAATTTTCCATTCTTGGATTTTTCCATATAATGTTACCTTCGAGCCCCTCTCTTTGTTGGTTGTTGATGTATGGGGCACCTAGTAGGTAAAAAACACTGCAAACATATTCGCATCGGCATCTGCAGAATCCTGTCTTTCACTAATCTATTGAATATCTTCCTTTCTCGCCTTGGTTCTTTGAGCCCGCCTCTCTCCTCCTGAATAAGAGAATCTGGTAGGTCCAGAGCACCCAAATGAGGATGTGGGATCCTTGAGCTCTCAATTAAAAGCATTTAAACTTTTCCATGCTTTTCATTGTTATCACTTTTATATCTCCATTTCCGAAATGATTTTGAATGCCACATTTAATTGTTGGAAATTTAGAATATATTGAACTCTCTTATTCAATTCATAAACAAGTCATAACTTGCAACTGAAAGAATGTTGCATGTATGTGCATGTGGTTTGTAACATACATAGATATGCATATAGTGTTCATGTATATGTGTATTCACATTATTTGATAACTGAGCTTATACTATTCTTTGAATTATACTTAATTAAGAATAATTGGTACTTGTACTATCCCATATAAAAACAATCTGCCATGTGGATTTTTCGGAGGCCAAGACTGGGGCATTACTACCCACATGTTTGGCAACATATGATGAATTGTTTGGCTTGATGGCACACTCCATCCTGTTAAACTAATGTTTCTTTACACTGGCCAGTTTCATGTTAAAATATTTTTTTCGAACTTTCTTCTTCTTTTTGTTATTAAGAAAACAGAGAAAGAAAAGCAGCCTCCTCTGAAGTTAATGTTTTTGCAGAAGTTGTCAGCTCCAGGTTTACAAAGGGTGCCATCATTGGCATCCATGAACCATCAACTTTCAGCTCTGACTCAAAGTGGGCAACCTGCAATGATGCAAAACTCTTTGTCCCAAACACAATTGATGAACATGAAATCGCTACAGTCTGCCATTTCCTCTCCTGCATCTCCTTCTTACCATCATCAACTACAAAGGCAACAGCAAAATGGGATGCATCAACAATTGCATCAGAAACAAACCATGCCCATGAATCAGCCGCAAATGGTTCAACAAGCTCAACAAATGCAACAACCAGGATCTCAGCAACTTCTCATTCAACATCAACAAGCATCGCAACAATCAATGCAACAGCAACCATCTCCTAGAATGGCTGGATGTTCGATCCAAAAGCCGACTAGTTTAACAGGATCACAACCAAGTACTCCTGCATCAGGCACAACTACTGGTGGGAGTTCTAGTCAAGGAACAGAAGCAAGCAACCAAGTCCTTGGCAAGAGAAGGATACAGGATCTGGTTTCTCAGGTATTTCTTTCTATTTCATTTCAATTCAAGATTTAATCATTTCTTTTCTTTTTTTGTTGTATTGAAGCCTTGGAACTTTTTCTAACTGATTGCGTTTCTTTGGCTTGTACCAAACTCCCCATGCAAATGACAGTATTTATGGTAAAAGTATCACATTCATTTTTGTCTAATTTACTGTTAGTTCTCTTTTTGAATCTTAAAATCATGAAAAATATAAAACTATATCATGTAACTGCACTATTCACACACTTTAATGAGGTGATGTGACTCTCTAAACAGAGAGAGGAGAAAAGATGTGGGAGTTTGAGATACAGTGGATGGCTTGATGCCAAGTGGGAGCTGTTAATTAGCTAGATAGTAACCCTCTTTTGTCTTTCCTAATCTTAAAGGTAACGTTACTGGATCTGAGATTTCTCACTTCGTTTTCTCTTGAAGGCACATCTAGGTATCTATTCTCCTTAACATCTTGTCTAAATATCCCAACCTTCTCATAAAATGGCCGATCTGCCACCTTGATGTGTAACCTGATTTGACATGTCTTATTGAGATCTTGAAACTGCCAACTGTCAAGAGCATGGCCTCAACAAGCATCTGGGGTAGAATGGGGACCTCCCTTGAGCTTGGGAGGGCACATGATACTTAGTTTCTCTATGGATTTTTAAGTCTCCAATGAGTTTCTAATTTCTTTATAAAATGTTGAGGCCCAAGGGTCAACTGACCTGTCTAAATTACTGATAAGTGTCCCATCTTTCCTAGATACCAAAACAGCCATAATTCTTAAGGTCCTTAAAAAAAGAAGGTTGTCGACTTGCCCACTTTACTTTCAACCATTCAAACATTGAAGCTACCACACCAGTCACTTTAACTAGCATTTGCAAGTTGTTCTCCAGTCTCCACGATTTTCAAGATTTTAGAATTTGAGGGCACCTTTACTTTCTTACTTTTCACTTAGGGGCCGTTTGGGTACCTGAAAATCTAATAGGGAACATATTACAAGGAAATATGAGATTTACAACCGCAAGAAAATGGAAACAAATTACACAAGATTTCTCCAAAATACGTGAAATCTATTACGCGCAGAATGGCTGTGAAATCCATTACGCGCTTAACGGGTAATCTAACTACGTGTGTCTCTTACCAGAAAAAAATCCTCTATCTCCTGCCATTCTCCCTCTCTCTTGTGCCCATCCATTCTCCCGCCATTCTCCCTCTCTCTTGTGCACATCCATTTCTATTTTCTCTCTCTAAACTCCATTTACATCCATTTCTTATATTTCTACACCTTCCTGTGCACATCCATTTTTATATCCCTCTATCCCCAATTTGGTTTCCACTTACATTCATTTCTTCTATTTCTACACTCTCCTGTGCATATCCATTTTTACATCCCTCTATCCCCAATTTGGGTTGTATCTCTCATCTGAAGCCATCGGCTCTCATATAAAAACAAAAATAATAAAAATAATAAAAATAATAATTAGTAATCAATGAGAAATTACACAACACAATCATACTAAAAAATTTCACACAACATAATCCTTATAAGAGATTAGTAGAAGCTCAATTGAAATAAGATACCTCTTTAATCTCCTCCAATGCCTCTAAATTTTCTACTGCAATTACCAAACCTTCTAGTTTACTAGTCAAATTTCTTTCAATTTTTTAACTTGTACTGTAAAGATTTTGAATGTGGTATCATAAATTTATTGTTTATTTGAAATTATATAGAGAGACATTTGAAAGACTTCTATAAACAATAAATAAAAATAAGGCTTATCACAATGAAATCATGTTATTCCAATCATATTATTCCAATGACTTATCATGTTAAAACCAAAGTCTAATCATGTTAGAAGACGTGATTCCATGTAAGTGCCAAAAGCATGCAAAATAAGTAGGAAATAGTGTCATGATGACTTTAGAATGGTACAAGTTATTATTTAAAATATTTTTGGAATGGTGATGATGTTATTATTAGAAAATCTTTTTGGAGTGGTTTGATGATGTCTTTAATTCCACATTTTAGTGGAATTTTGTGACAAAAAAGAACGAAATGATAGTTTATAGGCAAGTGTTGGTAAAATGTTGGTAATGCTTTCCCATATTTCTTCCAGACATAGCCAAACAGTAGCAATGTATTTCCTAGGTTGCATCTAAATAATACCCAAACAGTAACAATCCATTTGCAGGTAATGTATTACGCCAGTAATATATTTCACAGAAAATATATTTCCATGTATCCAAACGACCCCTTATTGTTTTTCTCTCCCAAGGTATGTTTGGACATAAAAGGGCAGACACTATAATTCTTTTTTGGAACTTGTTCAATTAATAGGGTTTGATGTAGAGTTCGGCATTTACACCTTGTTAGGGCGAAGCTTGGGCAAGATTGTCACGACTTTGATGCAAGAGAGAAATTAGGTTGGTGAATAGAGGGAGTATGAAATGTGAAGTTGATAGAGCTAAAGAAAGCTGGAACTCTGTTTGATAAGAGAGCTTCTATATGATGGAATGGAAGAAAATTTATAGAATATTAGAGAAAGATTTTTGTTGGGTAAAAGAGCTTGGAGGAGGAGAGGGAATGTTTCAGTGATGAAGGAAATATCAAGTTCTGTTGGGTAAATTGGAGATATTTTGGGTAAGGTAGAAACTAGAAAGAGGGAGTGGAGGGAGAAACGTCAAAAGAAAGAGTTTGAAGCCTTGTTGGGTGGAAGAGTTAAGAGGAAGCAAGGGAGAAATTTGATAATATTCTAGGTTTTGTGCAAGTAGAGATATGCTGGAGCAAGTAGAGAAATGCTGGACCTGTTAAGGTGTCTGGTGAGCTGGCATTGGTGGGTGGATCATCAATAATGAGAGGCTGTCTCGATTCTGAAATGTGAAACAATGTTACGATTTCTAATTTTTGATATGCATCCTCATCATCTGGATACACTTAGCCCCCAAAGGCACAAAGCTCACCCAGAATGCTCTTATGGTGAGTCGTGTCTAAATATGCAAGCGTTGTTTCAAAAGAAAATTTAAAGAAACACATCAATAAATTTTACTTCGGATAATTGAAACAAATTTGATAATTAGACTGAAATAGTCCTCAACTTCGTATAAATGATATTGATTATTAGGGGTAGTTTTTGGCCCAAGAAAAGTGAGTTTTAAGGTTGTTTAGGACATTTTCTAGTGAGTGTGAAATCTGCACTAGTTCCGTGGAAGTGGTAAAACGGTAAAAGGCAGAGTTGTGAGGTGGGGCTAAGTTCAGTAGAGAAACCTCCAATTAGTTTTTGCATTTCTTGTTCTTTGATTATAGCAACATGATAGACAGTTATTTCCCTTTTCCCCCTCTAAGAATCAATTTTTATGAGTTTGATTTGTGTTTTAAGGGAAATCTCTCTCTTGCTCTCCTCTCTCTCCCACCCCCCCTCCTCTCCCTCTCTACTTCCCTCCCTCTGTAAATAGGTGTATATATATACTTTATATTATATATATATATATATATAAGATATATGGAAAAAAGATTTTGTAAGCTACAGCTATAATGAATAGTATAAGCTACTAGCTCCTAGCCGTCAGATCTTCATCGGGTGGTTCAAAATTTATATCACTATTTGAATTTTAATATTTTTCTAGAAATTATATCGTAATAAAATTTTGGACCTGTGTACTAAAAAGTGGGGTGCACAATAAACAATGTATAAAAAATATTTTCTAAAATATAAAATGACCAAAATACCGCTGAAAAATGACAGGGGTAATTTGGTCATTTTAAATTATTGAAAGTAATTGTTTTACATTTTTATATGGTGCACAATAATGTTAGGTATATACACCCAAAATTTCATCTTAATCTGATTTATAGAAAAAAATATTAAAATTAAAATAGTGATATGAATTTTGAACCACTCGATGAAGATCTGATGGCTGAGTGCTATTAGCTTATATTATTCATTATGGCTAGTAGATTAGGAAATCCTTTTCCTATATATATTATATATATAAAGCACCACACGGTTTGGGAACCGTGTGGCGCACAAGAAATGAAGGTTTGGGAACCATGTGGCGCACAAGAAATGAATTTATGGCTTCGGGGCTAGGTTTCGGATCAATAGTTATATAGTCACAGAAGTTTACATATTTCTACTTACCTATGGTTATACATTTCCCCAGGTGTATGCTATATATACGGCTTTGCTTTGTGTAGGAGCTTTAAAGATCCATAATATTGGGGATCTGACCCTCTCAATCTTCCCATTAACATCCTAAAAACAAAGATATATCAATTTTAGTTTTATAAACTACTACTTCGTAGGTATTTTACTTGTTGGAGTAAATATATAATATGATACCACAAGACCGTTCTACAAAGTAAACTATCCTTATTTCTCTCTTCAACCAAAAAAACCTTAAAGAGGGATGACATGAACATTTAATCCAAGAGCATCATTCCACCAATAAATGCTTTTGCATTCTTCCAAATTTTCCCATATTTTTATATTGAAAAACCCATATAATCCTTGAACTATAAAATGAATAGATTTTTTAAAAATCATAATTAGAATAATTCTAAATTATGAGCATAATTTTCAAATTTCAAATTCATAAATATTTTATTAATAATTTTAATTTAAGTATATATTAACATTTGTAATAGAGAAAATTTATCAATTCTTCATCATCATTAGGGCTATTTCCTGACTATGTGGGGTCGGCTACATGAATTCTGGTCCGCCATTCTGCTTTATGAAGGGCCCTCAGTGAGGCTATAAGTCCTTATATCTTTTCTCACTATTTCCAGCCATGTCTTTTTGGGCCTACACTTTGCCCTTTTTGAGCTTTCCACTTGAACCAACATGTACCTCATAACAAGTGCCATACTTAGCATGCGCTGTGCAGAGAAACTTTATTAATTAAATAAATAAAATCATAGAGATTAAAGTTAACATCCCTTTATTTTAGTAATTTCCCTAAAATTTTCAATTTTATGAACGTCCCTTTTTTCCTTTTTCGTTTCCCCATAATGCCTATGTTCAGAACTCCAAATTCTAAACCTACTTATTTCACAAAAGTTCTAAATTCTATTTTTTTATGGGTGCGGTTTGTATAGAGCCTAGGCTCTAAACAATCAAATTAGAGCCTACCTTCAAATATTATCGATAAATATGTTTTCAACACTGGAAATTTTTGTGGTAGCCTTAAAATATGTTTTCATCTTTATTTATAAAGTTTAAAGTTTAAACAATAGTGTAGATCGATAGATCTATGAAAACTTGAAAATCTTGAAAATTGACGGTCCAAAATGCATTACAAAATACACCATTTCCAAAACTTGAAATCTATTTTTTTCTCATGTCCATGCATCTTAATGTCGAGATGATCAAATTGACGATATTTGAACATCAAAACAATTTCTTCTAGTGAAATTTTTGAGGTAGGCTCTAATTTGATTGTTTAGAGCCTCGGTTCTATATAAACGTTTCCCTTTTTTTATTGACTTTTTAGTTTGGAACTTCAAGTTGTGAACATAATTTTTTGTGAATGAGCTTCTCATCAAGTTTTGACCAAGTTTTAATGTGTGGAACCTTTGTTGCTGATATGTGGTAAAAACCCATCTTTTTAGCAAGAACAATAAAAGCTAATAATAAAAGGCTTATAAGAAATAGTTCAAAAGGCAAGACATTAAAATTTTTAATTTCGCATTCATAAAAATTATAATTTCGCCTTGAGCAGAAAAATACTTCTTAAATTTATGAATTTGTTTAAATTAGGAATTTAAATATACTTCTTTAAACCATTTTTAGTTAAACAATTATTTTATTTCACAACATTTTTGAAACCATTATTTTTTAGTAAAAGGTATTTTAATTTTTTTTTTGATAAAAAATTTATTTTAATATTTATTGGTCCATTCTACATATATTTAATCTAAATTAAGGGCAGCACATTTGGCAGTCATTTGGATGAGATACCTAATGAAGGAGAGAGATTAGAGTTGGTATCTTGTGGGAAATAGTAGTTACCTTTCCATTGTGAATGAATTGGATAGGGTTGTACACGATGTTAAACTCATGGTTGACATGAATCCTGGTCTGCCATTCTGCTATACTAAGGGCCATACCTTTAGTGAGGCCATAAGTCCCCATATCTTTTCTCATTGTTTCCAACCATACCTTTTTGAGCTTATCCTTTGCTCTTTTTGAGCCTTCCACTTGAACTAACTCACACCTCTTAATAGGTGCTCTACTGGGTTTGCGCCACACATGGCCAGCCCACTTAAGTCTACTCGCTTTCATCTTATCTCCTATTGGTGCCACACCTACCTAAATTATTCCTAATGTATTCATTTCGAATTCTATCCATTCTTGTCATGTCATTTATCTATCTCAACATCTTCATCTCCGCTACACTCATTTTATGGTTATATTATTTTTTGAGCTCCAACATTCCTCTCCATAGAGCAAAGCTGGTCTCACAGCTATCTTATAGAACTTGCACTTTAGCTTCATTGGTATGTAGAGATTGGATAAAATTCCAGTTGCAGATCTTCGCTTCGCCCACCCAGTTCTAATTATATGTGCGACATCTTCCTCAATATCTCTTTTTTCCTTGATTATCGATCCAAGATATCGAAAGGGCGCACTTTTTGGTATTTCCTAACCATCAATCTTAACTACTTCATCGTCTATACTCCTATTATTACTAAATTTGCATTCTATATATTCTATCTTAGTCCGGCTAATTTTAAAACCTTTAGATTCTAGATCATACTTCCAAAGTTTTAACTTTGTGCTGACGCCATTTTGGGTCTCATCGATCAAAACTGTCATCTGCGAACAACATGCACCACAGTACCTCATCTTGTAGGTGCCTAGTTAAGTCATCCATAACTAAGACAAAGAGTTATGGGCTCAATGCTGACCCCTAATATAGACCTATTGCCACTGACAACTCACTTGTCTCTCCACCAGTTGTTCGTACACAAGTTGTTTTAAAGTTTTATCTGAAAGGGGGCATATTTTTAGCTACATCTCTGAAGCTTATGATTTGTATTGTTCTCAAAGCGCCTTTTTCTTCTTCTGTATTTTGTTGTTGGCTCCTTCTTGCTTTGTTAAGTTAAAAAGGTCAATATTTACATTTGGTTTTGAGACCATTCTATTCTTTTATAATTATCTTTTCGCATGGGCCTCAATCTTTATGCATCATGTATTGTGGCAGGTAGATCCACAGGGAAAGCTGGACCCTGAAGTTGAGGATATCCTCTTGGAGATAGCAGATGACTTCATTGACTCGGTGATGATCTCAAATTGTTCTGTACTGATAAGGCATGATGATGTGTAATTTGGAGCTAATCAGAGTTATAATGTATTTGCATATCTATTTCTCACACTGCTAACGTCATTTCTTTTTATCGTCATGGGATATGCATAAAGTAATGTATTTGCATATCTATTTCTCACACTGCTAACATCATTTCTTTTTATCATCATGGTATATGCATAAAATATTGATGGTTGAGAAAATAATGCAAAATCGCAGCTATATATTTCATTTGATAAGAAAAATTCTTCTGACTCTCTTTTAATTACTCCCATGAACAAAATTCTTCTGACTCTCTTTTAATTACTCCCATGAACAAAATTCTTCTGACTCTCTTTTAATTTCTCCCATGAACATTTTTTTCATAGATCTCTTCAAACTAAAGTTGGTTTACTAGTTGCAGTTTTTCAAAACACATTCGAGAAATCATATTACGAAGGGAGAATTATTAGAGAGGGCAAGGGGCGAGGGAAGAAAACCCTTTTGGGGGTCTTTCCAATTGTATTTCCTTAATTACTGTCAGTTTATTTTTGCAATTACCTTACTAATCTCTTGAAACTTTTCAGGTCACAACATATGCGTGCAGTCTAGCAAAGCATAGGAAATCTTCAACATTAGAATCCAAGGATTTGTTGCTTCATTTGGGTCTGCTTCTCTCTCTAAACATTCTAAGAACATTGTTGCATTTTTTTTCTCCTGTAACTGTCTTTGGAGAATATTATCATATACCTAGCTCATGAATTTACAATATTTTTTGCAGAGAGGAACTGGCATTTGAACATTCCTGGCTTTTCTAGTGAAGAACAGAGGAACCACAGGAAACCAGTAAGAATATGCTTCCTTTTCTGAGGGAAAATGATATAAGATAAAATTTGGAGAATTATTTTATTGCCACCTTTTGTTTCAAATGTATTTAGGTTTCTGCTATTTAGGTTAACCAAGGGTTAATTGACTAGTACACAAAAACACATGCGGAGACTATTTGTTTCAGAGTAGGGTTTAAAATCATGGACTAGGTTTGGGATTTGTCAAAGTCCTGATCTGAGTCCACTACGCGTGACTAGGCCAAGTACAAAGCAGACCTGAAAGAGTCTCTTCAAAAAATAAAGGGTTTTCTTATGAGACAGGTGATTCGTGTATTTTCTCCAGGGTGCGGATAGGTCCCATGGCAAAGTCAACACAGGCAAGTCCCAAGTAGATTCCCTGCAGTTGTAATCTGTGGTTTGAGGATAGGAAAACTTCTTGGTTTTTATCATCTCTTCGTGAAACAACATAGTAAAGAAAGAAACACTGTAAAATAACTAGAAGACATTCTCAACCCTTAAAATTTTGTCATTCTTCTCATCTTCTTTCCATCTGGTTTTTGGGTTTTTTCTTCTCTATCAAGAGCTTTTAATCTTAGGGTTCTTTATGGGTTTTAACTTTTTCATTTTGTTTTTTCTCTTGCTTCCACTTTATCCTTATTTCTTTTTTACCTTTTCTTTACTCCGTTGTTTCACAATAGGACTTCCTCCTATGTTTTCATATTTAATGATGTCCTTTTTGCACAGTCCATGTATTTTGCCTCATCTTTTCTTTTTGATATTTAGTTAACCAAATGGCACATAAAATTTATAATTAAGTCGTAAAGGAAAAACCTTATTACATTCGAAACCATGGCAAGTTCCTAATTCCTAAATATAAAATTCTGTCGTGGCAAAAAACCAAGTTTTCCCTGTAGAATTCATTTTGGCCAAATTGTTGCTTTACGTTCTTTGAGTTTCAAAAAGCAGCTTCCCTCTTTTGCATGTATTTTTCGTTTTTGGGGTTGAAAACCAAAAGTTTGGATATGAGACATTGTTCTGGTAAGAAATAGTTTTTACTTGTGTGTCATTCAAAGGAACACTTGAAAATTTGCAATATCGGATCTAAATGTGTCAAGGGACATGGAAGCTATGATTGAGGAATAAATGCGGAATTTTTGTCTGAAATTAGTGATTTAATACCCAAGGTTATATATTTCAGCTGTTAGCCCCATTCATTAGCCAAAATTTGCCCAGAAGTTAAAATAGGAAATATCAATAGTTCGTGCCGATGGCTCTGAAATTTGAAATGTCATCATAGACATGGATCGTTAATTTTTCAAAATGACTTTTTTAACTTCGTTTTACCTTTGGGACCTAATCTTAACACTCAACATGTGAAAATGTAGTCAGAGTAAACTTTGATTGGTCTAGGTACTATTTTGATATTTTGAGTTCGTTGGACTATTGTATGAGCTTTAACAGTTTCCTAGGTACTGTACTGATACATTCCTTCCCTAAGATATTTCCCCTCTACTAAGTTATGAAATAGACTCATGAGGAATCTTAAAATACCGCTCTACCCATAAGTGTATTGACTTTTTGAGAAAAAGAGCTTTGTTCGTACAAAAATACAAAATTAACCATAGTACTTTGATTATGAAAAAGAAAAAGAAGAAAAAGAGCTATGTAAGATACATATTTTTTTTAAGATATTAGACCTCTTGAGATTTTGTCTCCGACTTTGGCTTTCCACCTTTTATAGAGGGATAAATGGACCGATTTGCTTGCCTTCTATAGTACAAATCTTAGAGCCTTCTTTTTCCCCATGACCTCTTTTTCTTTTCCCATGGTTTCTTGCTGCAAAAGAGAGAGAGAGAGAGGACCGCGGGGGGGGGGACCATGTCTCTCTCTCTAAAAACCTATGTTTTTAAGCTTTTCCCTCATGCTCTATTTAAAAACCCAACACATTCTTCCCTCTAATATTCTCTCTAAAAACCCAGCTCATTCTTCCCTCTCACATTCTTAGAGAGAGAATGTGTAAGAATGTGAGACGATGGAAGAATGGGTTGGGTTTTGAGAGAGAATGTAAAACAGAAGAATGGGCTGGGGTTTTAGAGAGAGAATGAAAGAATATAGTTGGGTTTTAAGTGAGAGAACGTGAACAGAGGAAGGGGCTTAAAAACTGGGGTAGAGAAGGAGGCAGGGAAGAAACCTTGGAAAGAAGAAAGGTGAGATGTGGGAGAATGAGGTCTCCAGATTTTGTTTCAATGGAGGCAAATTGGTCGGTTTGCCCTTTAGGTGGAAGAACCAAAGTCAAAAACAAAATCTCTAGAAGTCTAATTTCTTAAACAGAAAAAATCTTGATAAGGTTTATTGCTTAAAAAGGCCTTATTTTATGGGTTATCGTAGTTGGCCCGGAATAATATTGTTAGACTGGAACTCTCATGCTTATTTCTTATTAAAGAAATGTAGCTCATGCCTCTTTTTCTGATGAATGACTGCAGATAGCGAATGATGCCCACAGGAAACGACTCGAAGTGGTAAATATTTCATTCCTTATGATTGTCTTCTATTATTATGTCTTATATTATAACATTTCTATTCTTATTTTAATTAATGTATTTCCTAATTGAGAGTGATGAACTTTGTATACCTATTCCAATATCATTGAATTCAGAAGACCATGGTCACAGTGGTAACCACGAGTTGAAGGGGGTAGTTTTTACCCTCTATCAAGGCAATTGTGAACTTGGGTAGTGACACTATACTTCCTCCGACAGATGTGGTCCATTTTTTTCTTTTTTAAGCATGTTTTGATACTCAGGCCCCTTTTATCATCATCATAGCCTTTTCTCAACTAATTGGGGTCGGCTACATAAATCCTAGTCCATCATTCTGCTCTATTACGGGTCATACCCTTAGTGAGGCCATAAGTCCCCGTATCTTTTCTCACTACTTCCAACCATATCCATTTGGGCCTACCCCTTGCCCTTTTTGAACCTTCCACTTGAACTAACTTGCACCTCCTAATAGGTGTTGTATTGGGTCTGCACCACACATGGCTAGCCGCCGGCCCACCGAAGTCAACTCTCTCTCATCTTATCACCTATTGGTACTATATTTAAATTTTTTCGAATGTATTCATTTCGAATTCTATCCCTTCTTCTCTTTCCACTCATCTATATCAACATCCTCATCATTGCTACACTCATTCTATGGGTATATTGTTTTTTGACCGCCCAACATTCCGCCCCATAGAGCAAAGCTGGTCTCACAACTGTCTTATAGAACTTGCCCTTCAGCTTCATTGGTATGCGACAATCGCATAAAATTCCAGTTGCACATCTCTACTTCGCCCTCCCAGCTCTAATTTTATGTGTGACATCTTCCTCAGTCTATCTATTTTCTTGGATTATCGATCCAAAATATCGAAAAAGTGCTATTTTTAGTATTTTCTTGCTATCAATTTTAACTACTTCTTCATCTCTACTCCTATTATTACTAACTTGCATTTCATATGCTTTGTCTTAGTCCAGCTAATTTTAAAACCTTTAGATTCTAAAGCATCCCTCCAAAGTTCTAACTTTTTGTTGACGCTGTTTTGGGCCTCATCAATCAAAACTATGTCATCTCCGAACAACGTGCACCGTGGTACCTCATCTTGTAGGTGCCTAGTTAAATTGTGCATGACTAAAACAAAGAGGTATGGGCTCAATGCTGACCCCTGATGTAGACCTATTGTCATTGAAAACTCACTCGTCTCTCCACTAGTTATTTGTATAGTTAGCGTTCCATCGTACATATCTTTCACCAAGTCGATGTAATGTCTAGAGACTCCATTCTTTTCCAACACCCACCAAATGAAATGTCGAGATACTCTATCATAAGCTTTATCTAGATTAATAAAGACCACGTGGATGTCTTTTTCCTTTGCCCTAAACTTCTCAATCAATTGTCTAAGTAGGAAACTAGCCGTGGTTGTTGACCTCCCTGGCATAAAACTAAATTGGCTTTCTGATACACTCGTTTCATGCCTTAGTTGTTGCTCAATCACTTTCCCAGAGCTTCATAGTGTGGCTCATAAGTTTGATCTGTCAACACTTTGTACAATTCTGTATGTCTCTTTTGTTCTTGTAAATAGGTACCCCAATACTTTTTCTCCATTCGTCTAGCATTTTCTTTGTTGTTAGCACCTTGATGAATAGCTTGGTCAATTAATCAATGCCAATCTCTCCATTGCACTTCTAAACCTCTATTGAGATACTATCTAGTCCTAAAGTCTTTCCTACCTTCATCCTTTTCAAATCTTCTTTCATTTCCGATATCTTAATCCTACGAATGTATCTATGACCTCAGCCCTCATTTATGCCAATGGTTCTTTCTACACTATGTTTCCATTGTGTTTGTTATTTAATATTTTTTGAAAATAAACTCTCCACCGTTCTTTGACGTTTTTATCCTTCACTAAAACCCTTTGATCGTCACTCTTAATGCCATTTAATATGGTCTAGATCCTTACATTTTTTCTCTCTCATTTTTGCTAATGTGAAGACATCTTTTTCGCATTTTCTTGTTCTTAGTTTACTATATAAATTATCATATGCCTTAAGTTTAGCCTTGTTTACTATTTGTTTAGCGTTTTTCTTAGCATTAAAAAAAAAAACGCTAAACAAATAGTAAGAAACGCTAATATTAAGGCATATGATTATCATGAATCCTGAACATACTTAGGCTCCTTTATGAACTAATAATCTTGTTTACTCTCTGGCTCATTCATTAATTAAAAGGACATTGTTCCTTTATGAAGTAATAATCTTGTTTACTCTCTGGCTCATTCATTAATAAAAAGGACATTGTTTGGTTCCTATATATAAACACCGGAAAGCGCTCCTCAATGTGTGTGTGTGTGTGTCTTGCCGAAGTATCAACTACCTTATTTGCCTCCCTTTATATGTGGTGGAAAGTCACCCTGAGGTTACTTGTGATGTCAAAAATATTGTTGAAACTACTAGGTAACTGTCATGAGCATTTTGTTTTCCTACAGCCCCACTAGATTATATTGCTTGAATCACCTTCTAGTTGTATTTGCCTCCAACTGGGATGCAATCAACAAGCCCTTCTAACAATTGTCTTGCCTATGCCTCAATAGAGCCTGTGAAGGTCAATAAGATGCAGCCATCTTGGTCTTTAATAACTCTTCTTACCCTGATCAGCCTCAGATTTCCTCATGAAACACCTTTGAAATTCAATTTTTATTTGAGCTTTTATGGGGGAAAGTGCAATTCCTGTGTATTTTTGCATGAGAAAATGAACCCCTAGATAAAGATCTCCCGAACTTGAATATCAACAGCCAAGTATCTCCAAAACTCTTTTCTGGCTCTCGATCCTTATTATAATGCTTGTCTTTATCCAATCCTTCAACAACAATTCCAAATCGTAATATTCGGACTCAAATACTCAGTTGCTCCTTTTCGAACCACACAAACCATAGGATTGTCAAGATTGCGAGTGCTACTTGCTCAGGAATGCTTCAATGGAGTCTGGTGTAATCCTCTGTATCTTATAATTCTTTTTTTTTTCTTTGAGAAATTGTAATTAGGCTATTCTGTTTGTTATTTCACAATGTAAGAAAATGGTTCACTGTTTTTGCCCCAAATTTGGTTCACAATGTAAGGAAATGTGGGGTCATCAAATTTGTTTTAGGCCAAGTAAAACTACCATGCAAATGGACTTTCCTTTGGCCTTGGAAAATGGAAAGACGGTTGCGCAAAGCAATTTGCACTAGAGGGAAAGTGTATCTTGGGTCCAACAATTATGGAGTAGGGTAACATAGTTCACTTAAATGGGGAAGCAAAATATAATCCAATGGAGTAAAGAAAACAGTAGGCCATTAGGGTCATCATCGTTCAATGTAGTGATGCTTTGTAATGGAGGAGAGTGAGGCCCACCATCAGGGAAATGCAATATTTCTGTTGGGTCTCGCTCTCTCTCCATCAGCATCCATTGTTTCATTTGTGGGTGATGACACCAAGGGACCATGGTTCTTTTCTAATCAATTGATTAAACTCTACATTTACATTCACAAATCTTTTGGCTCATCTTAGGAGTCCTCCTGAAACAAATCTTTTGGCTCATCTTAGGAGTCCTCCTGAAACAAATCTTGATATACTTGATTTCCTATATCAGATTCGAAATTTGATGGACTCTCAAAGCCCTGACACTGCTGTGGGAAAAGATAGGGATTCAATGGGGCAACAAGCTGTTAACAATTTGGAAGTTTTGGCTCACCAAATCAATGCCGTACAAAGTGAACAAATGTTCTCTCCTGCAGCTGGTCCTCAAATGGTTCAAAAGCTTACTCGTTTCTAGTTGGATTACAGATTAACTATACTCCTAAATCTTTGCCTTTGGCTAAAGCAGGTCAGTTTGTAACGTGGGTGATAATTAATTTGTTTTATTATGCATATTGTAAATATGTTTTATATTCTATTTAAAATTGAATGCATACTTCAAAGGAGAATAGTCGAATGCCCCCAATTTTTCTTGAAATAGTATGACAGAATGGTCCTTTTCAGCTGTTGATGAGAGGAAAAGAATAATCCAATGGACAATGATATAGCACTATGTTTTATCGGTTAATACAAATTTGAGGATCTTCTCCAATAATGCTGTGTATTGATAGAATATGGATATCATGCTACAGGGTAATGGACAGTCTACTATGATCCATGGACTATGATGGAATGGTAATGGAGCTGAGAATGGGACACTGCAGCACAACGTGTTTCCTGTGGTGGGTCCTAAACTCTCACCATCACAATCAATCATTTCATTGGGATGGTGAAGGTGACCCAAATGGACTCGGATACTAGCATAGTTCATTGGATTATTGTAGGCCATCTCTCTTCTTCTTCTTTTTTTGATAGGTCCTCGTGGGAGTCGAACATGGGATGTAGTTTTGCAATTCGTCAATGCCACCACCAATCACGCAAGTGCTTGAATCTCCAAAGTGGGCTAGGTCGGCTTGGTTACTCTTGACCTCCCTCACAGAAACCCAGATTTTTGTAAACACTCCCTTGAGGAATACATGACAAGAATCCTTGATATTGCAAATTCATAGATTTTTTTGTATTTCAAACATCCAAAATTCTTAATTTCCTCATATCTAAACGGGCCTTTGTCCTGTGTTTGTGAACCTTGACTTGTATGAACGATGCCCCCAATTCTCCATGATATGTGTATAGGGCCCATGTACAATGAGCACTATGAAGTTCTACAGTATGTACGAAACTTAATGAGAAACCAGCATTTCTTATTATATTATTTGGGAAAGTTGTCAAAATGCACGAGGTATGCACTATTTATCATTATATGTTTTTGACACTATTCCAGCTTATGATCATGAGCTTTTTCATGGGTTTTGGAAATTAAATTAAAGAATATGGGTACAATGTTAAATATTCATCTCATATGGGTCTTTTGATGATTTTCCCATGTTCTTATTAGTTATCAATATTTGTGGAAATCGCACCCATCACCAGCAATGGAATTTATTTAAAATAAATAAAGTTTGTTGTTTGAGTGATCTTTTCCAAATTCGGTGCCTTAGCTTGTTTTTAAGAAGAGTTTGAGCTCCTTACGAACCAAGGATGCTCTTTTATTTATGCAGTGTTTTTGTGGTGTCCTAAATGGGTGAGGTTTGTATAAGACTTCAACTTGTACTATTGAAGTAAGGTGCACATCAAAACTATGTTGAAATTTCATTTTCAGAGCTACAGAGTTTTGCAATCCAATTATAAAATTTGAAGTTTCAAAAATAGTGATGATCAAGGAAATTTATAAACACTTGAAAATCTTGAAAATGGATGGTTCAAATTAAAAATCAGGCAGTTCAAATTCTTGCCTTTGGAATTTAAAGTTTCGGTCCGTTCTTGTGAACTGGAAGGGTATTTAAAAAAAATATATAAAATAAAAATATAAAATCCCCAAAAATAAGGGATTTTGTGTGTAATATGTTTTTTAATATTTTTCTGTCATTTTGACAAATATTAGAAATTGTTTTGGCCATTAATATTTATTTTTACATTTTCCTCTCTTTTTTAAAAAGTTCAAAAATATCTTAGGCACAAATTGATTCTTTAAAATTCATTTTGCCATTAATTTTGAATGTCATTTGGATGTGTTTTGTTTAATCATATTTTAAATGTATTTTCCTATTTTAT